CACCGAGGCCTCTCTCTCTTTCCCTTCCACTCTCCCCGAAAAGCGATGGAGAATATATCCTTGGATGAGTGTTTAAAAAAATAAACTAAAAAGTTTAAAAAAAAATAATGATACTGCTTTCAGAAGCTAAATTTTTATCAAAATGAAAAACAAAAACTAATGAAATCAGGAATTGTGTGATTTTCTGTAGAATCATTCTAAGCCAAAGTACGTGAAGATGAGATACGGAGCCTGGTATCTGAACCCCAAGGAGTGGAAGAGGCAGCCGGTAGATGAGCCTTTGGTTGACCCCAAGGTCTTACGTAAAGCTCAAGATGAGAACGCGAGAAAGGAGCAGAAGAGACAGGTATGGGCACGCGCTGGGGCTGGGTCGCCTGCTGCCGCCCGGTGCGGCTGGAGCCTCAGGCCTGAGAGCTCACACGCGAGCAGCAGTGGGACCGCCAAGCCCTTGGGGGGGAGGGGCGATGGCCAGACTGGAAGCCCCCGGCTTCAAGGTGGGCGCGGCGTCTCCAAAGACAGGGCAGCCCCTCCTCGCACCCCCGCCATCCTTGGTTGGGCTTCATGGATAAACTGACTGTCCAGAGGGCGGTGTGACCAGGGAGGACCTCCTCGGCACCCAGAATGTATATAATATCCTGGGCTCTCCTTGAATTACTAAAGGTAAGGCCTATTTATTTTTTTAAATCAACAATGGGTGAATGGTAAAGAATTTCAAAATTGCAATCAGGAAACTTCTTTTATGCAATTCAGCAGAGTTGCAGGATCTGAGAGGAGGGGGCAAAGGCTGATACCACAATGCAGCAAACACACACAACAAAAATGAACTCTCATTCTACTATGAATAAACTCTGCCCGCTGGCCTCTTGCGTACAGGCATCTAATGGAAAGAAGATCCCCACTGCGGTCCTGAAAACTTGAGGTGTTGACATAACCCTTGCGCAGGACTCTAATGAGATATTTGTGAAACACTTCTCTTTTTCAACAGGTCCAAAACTTCTCCCAGATCTCAGTGTGAAAACACTTTGAAAAAAGTAAAATGCTATACAAATTTGGCTACTCATTCATTCATAAGTCACTCATCAGCTACTTCCTCTAGATTGGAGGAAAGATGGTCATTTTGATCTTTTCTAGTACTGGGTATGAAACTCTTATTTTGAGGTGTGAGACATGACACAAACTTATGAATATAAGATGCTTATAATATATAAGCCTCACAATAATGTAAATAATATTCAGCAGAATTTCTTGGTGTATGGTTTTTGGAGCTGCCTAAATTTATATGAATTTAATACCTAACATAAAACTATTTCAGTTGCATTTTTAAAAAATAAACCATTCTCAATTGAATATTTTAAAAGAAAAATAGTTACAAAACTTTTAAGGTGTCTAGAAGGTCTCTTTTTGGAAAGACATTTTTTTTTTTTTTTTTTTTAGTAATTAAATAAGTTTATTTTCACAAAACAATAATTTTTACTTAAGTGGTAAATATTGTTCTTAAATTTTTTTATTATAGTCGGCATATAATAGTATATTAATTTCAGGCATACAACATAGTGATTCAACATTTATATACCTTACGAGAAATATATTCTTAAAGACTAATTGTTAGTCTTTACAAATCATTTTCTAAAAATATTTTATTTTGACAGCAAAAGCTAGTAAAGGTGTTTGCCAAAATGGTTATGGTCAGCTCATGAAAAAGAAGTAATATTTAAATTTTGGAAATATGGCTGATATAACTATTACAGAAAAAGATTGTTTATCAGGCAGTTTAGAGACAAGAAGGATTCAAAGCAATGGAGTTGTTCTGTAATGATTTTTATAAATCACACTTTTTCCTAATACCTGAAGATTGACTTAACAGTGCACTTGAGGTGGTGCCACTTGGCTATGGCACCCCAATTCACAATTCACAGGTGCAGTGGTGTGCTAGTAAGGGACGGTCACTTTGATGACATGGCTGTCTTTCTGGTAACACATAACTTTTGACTATTATTGAGTGAATTTGTTTGGAAGGTGAAATGGTCTCAAATAACTGAATTTCAATGATATACTCTTATGCATATGACTTTTAAATTCAGATAAATGAAAGAAGAAAAACAAATGAATGCATGAATGCCCCAAAGATATTGGGGCTGGATCAAATATTTTTTGATAATCATGTCTTTTGGAGTTAAGATCTAAAATTTGCAAATATAGTGTTGAGTAGGAAAAACACTGCTGTTTCTTCCTCTATCACTTTCAACTCTGGTCACCAAATGTGTTAGGGCTTCCCCGCCTCCCCCCCCCACACACACACACCAGGAAATTCTCTGATTCTCTGGACACCAGCTGGATGTCCTACAATTTAATTCAATTCTGACATTTGTCTCCCTGGAGATGGACTCAGATGCCACAAGTTAAGGGCTCCGTCCCATGAGACTGCCCTCACCTCAGATGCCAATCTCAAGTCCAGGTGTCATCTGTGCTTCTGACCAACTGGCTATATGCATCGCAGGTTCCCAAAGTCCCCTCCTCAAGCTCCACCATCTGCTAGAGCAGCTCACAAAACTCAGGAAAACAGTTTACTTACTAGATTACCATTTTATTATAAAAGGGTACCCTCAGGAGCACTCAGATGGAAGAGATACATAGGGCGAGGTGTGTAGGAAGCTTCCATGCCCTCTCTAGGTGGGCCACACTGCCAGGACCTCCACACGTTTACCATCCCGGAGGCTCGTGGAACTTCTCCCTCTGGGGTTTTTCTGAGGCTTCATTACATAGGCATGATTGATTGTTGGCCATTGGGAGGTGGAGCTGAAAGTGTCCACCCTCTCATCACATGGTTGGTTCCTCTGGCAACCAGCCCCCATCACGTGACTACCTATGGGCTCCCCAAAAATCACCTCATTACCATAAACGCCTGTGTGCTTGAAAGGGGTTTGTTATAACTAACACAAGGCTCTCCTTTCACCTTTGTGGCTCTTAGCACTTAGGAAATCCAAGGGTTTTAGGAGCTCTGGCTTGTTTCGCTTAGCATGATATTCTCGAGATCCATCCATGTTGTCGCAAATGGCAGGATTTCATCTTGTCTTATGGCTGAGTAGTGTTCCATTGTATGTATGTACCACACCTTCTTTCTCCAGTCATTTCTCAAAGGACACTTGTGGTCTCCATGTCTTGGCCACCGTGAATAGTGCTACAGTGAACATAGGGCTGCATGTATCTTTAGGAATAAAGTAAACCATAGTATCACAATTGTTATTCTTAAAATGGTTAGATTCCAGACATTTTAAGTCAGTAATTGACTAATTGCTAAAATGTAAGACTTACCCTTAGTAGAAGAGTTAGAGAGAGGGTAGGGAAAGGCGAGAAAGTTGCACATCCTTTGAAAGCCTTTGTACTCATGAACTCGTGAATGTAGCCTGCACACTTATTCCAAACGAGGAGATGGTTTAACATGACGTGTTTCATAAAGAGTCAAATGCTTTTAATTAGGACAAGTGCGAAATCAAACTTCTGACTGCTGTTTGTTTAAAATGTGGACTTTCTTTTAGGATGAAGAGTTTGCAAAACTTCGTGGACCAGTTGCCTTTAAGGAATTCATTCAAAGGAAGGGCTACAGGATGCCAAGTGTGAGTCAAGGGTCACTGCGGGAAGACCTGCCGAGGGGCTCGCGGTTGTTCACGGGAGGCGCCAGCACCCTGACACGGTCGAAACACTCCTCTTACGGGCGAACACCAGGCCTCAGGCCCCTGGGAGAAAGGGCGTGCTTCCCCCCACATGGCAAGGGAGAGGACTGGCGTTTTCTCTCCTTATTCTGCCTGTTTGGTTCCTGCTGTCAGAGGTGCTGTCTCCCCACTGATGCGCCTGCCTCCGGCTTGGCCTTAATGGGGTCAGAGTAAAAAGGAGTCGACTATGTACAGGGCATGTGCCTTGCAGACTCTGACTGCTGCTAGAACACTCGGCGTGCTCTAGGAAATGTTTAAGTTTCCTTTCCTTTCAGATCTAAGGACAGAACTGTGGCTTGTGTCAGGACAAATGGAGCTGGGGTTGACAGTGTCGTCATGGTCAGCCCCATGTGGAAACAGGCTGGGCAAAGTTCACTTCCGGGGGCCCCAGGGTCTTCTGCCTTTTTCCCATTTTCTCTCTTTGTCCTTCTAGTTTCCCCTCCCTTAACTTGAAAAGCTGGCCCCCCTTAGAAGACTCCGGGTAACGGGGTGGAGTGGTTGGCAGGGGGGCCGTTCAGCAGGAAGTTCCCGCCCAGACCGGCCAGAGTCCGAGCTGCAATGTCGGGTTCGCCCAGCGTCCCTGCGCACTCATCCCGCAGGGTCCCTGAGGCCCGCAGGCTAGATGCTCCGAGGCCCTGGAAATGGGACACAGAGTTTCCTTTTTCCCAAGACTTAACAATAGGTTATACTTACTGGCATGTAAATATATTGACCAAGCTCAGACCCAGACTGGTTTCAGAGTTCAAGAGGCACGGTGAGGGAAGGCTAGGCTGTGAGGTGGAGGTGGGCCGAGGCTCCATTCCACAGCTGGGATGAAACGTCTCCTCCAGCTTTCAGCATCGGTGACAGGCTGCCAAACATGTTTAATATACGTACATATATTTATGTGCTTATAATAACTACCTGATCTGTATATAAGGTCACATAAGCATATTTATATGTATTTATATGTATGATAGATAAAAGATGCTTATATAATTGTAGATGTGATTATATGTTTATATATGTTAATATATATAAGCATAAATATAATTATGTAATATAGAAATGTGTCTCTATATCTACACATATATATTCTTCTTGCCATGACTATGTATCTATATCTACATAGGTATATATTTATATATCTATAGATACACTATGTGTACAATATCATTATTTGCTCTTGATAAGTGTAACAATTCATAGTTCTACCTTAACATTTTTAGTGACAAACACTTTTTTTTTCCACTTTGATTTGTTCCCTGCTGGTTTAATCCATTCTGTTGATGAACATTTAGCTCAATTTTGGGCAAAAGGACACACTGGCTACACTCTTTTAGCTGCATTAACTACTGAGAGATAATATTCCTGGCTACATCTGAGTCCTCTGAAAATCCCTGCCACTCAAAATCCTTTATTCTTACATGCTATATTCTCTACTTTATCAGTAAGATTTTTACTAAAAGAGAGGAGGGAATCTATTATAGTCATTTTTTATGTATAAATAGACACACAGACACACACACATATACGTGCACACACAAACTGTCATTATTTAAATTTAGGTATGAACATTCATTCTCTTTTAACTCCTATAATGTCTATGTACACTGTGTAGGTACACATTCATATATGTTATATGAGCACACATACTTACGTACACATTGCAGTATCTGCTGCTGGATTATCTGCTCTGTGCATTACCCACAGCTTCATTCTGTCTGCTACACAGATAAGAGCCAGGCCTCTAGTAGCAGGAATGAGCAGCACAAGGCTGTGCTGAGCTGGGCTGGCCTGGACTTGGGCACCAAACAAGTGTGAATAAGCTCTAGGTACTCCTGATGTTATGCAACCACCTTCCAAAGCCCACCGTCTGCCATGGCCCAGTGATCAACACGCGATTTTGAGTACTATGAGGATATATGTCATAGAGTGTGAGATTGTGAATTTGGGTGTGGGTGTGGTTGTGACTGTGGGTGTGAGCAGGACTGTACAATTTTTGTTTGCCAATCTAATTTTCTCTCATCTTTTTTTTTTTTAGTTCCTTGAGAATATAAATATCAAGAACGATTGTAACTGCGATTATAATAAGACTCGTNTGTACAATTTTTGTTTGCCAATCTAATTTTCTCTCATCTTTTTTTTTTTTAGTTCCTTGAGAATATAAATATCAAGAACGATTGTAACTGCGATCATAATAAGACTCGTAGAAAATAACTCAGCGTAGAAGAATTTAGGAAGATGATTAGATGGATTTTATTTACTACATAGTACTTGGCTATGTTCCTCTCTCATTAAACATTACACAAAATTTATGATGAATGTCCCACCATGGACACTTTGACTTGACAATACCTATAAATTTTATAACAAATACTTAAGAACATTTCACAGGGGCCTTCTGCCTTCATTAATCAATATTTTATATATTTTTGCCAACTGTGAGATCAATATTCACATGTAGTCTTCTCACATATTTAAAACATATAAATATTTATAATATGTATAAGTATAGCATAGTTATAACATGTCAACTATTTATCAATAAAAGTAGAATTGTTATATTGGTTTTTCCTAGAGTGTCATTTTTCCGGGTTTTGAGTGAATATTTGCTTTAGTCTTTCTTTAGAACATAATTTTCTTTCATTCTGAACCAAGCTTGCTGAGGTTTCCCCCCTTTTTAGGCGTGTTAGTCTTGATAACAAATGTGTACCCAAGGTCATAGATCATAAAGTTTCATGGAAACTCAAGATGACATATATTTTTCAATAATTATTTAGAATTATTTTTTATTAAAAATGTTAATGCTTTGGGGCAGATGGGATGAAAGAAGGTGAAGAGATTAGCCAAAGACCATATATGCATGACACATGGACACAGACAACGGTGTGGTGAGGGCCGGGGCTGGGTGGGGCAGGGTCTCAGTGGAGGGGGGC